TGGCAGTGTTTTTGGGCAGAATTATGAGAGAGCCCACTCCCTTGGTTGAAAAGCAACCCCACACATGGATGGTCTCAGGATGCTTCACTGTTGGCACAACACAGGACTCATGGTAGCGTTTACCTTTTCTTCTCCGAACAATTGATTTTCCAGATGTCCCAAGCAGTCGGAAGGGAGCTTCATTAGAGAAAACTTTGCACCAGTCTGCTGCTGTCCAATCCTTGTACACTTCCTGCAGAATTTCAGTCAGTCCTTGACGTTTTTCTTGGAGAGACATCAGTCTGCTCTTACAATCTTAGTATGATAGTGATTTTACCAGACCAGTACTAATTCACACTTTCACATGTGCTGCTGATATGATTAGTCAATTAATGTTAGCTGGTCATTTTGTGTCAGGATAAAAAAAAAACTGAAATTTGTTTTTTTTTGTGAAAAGTTCATTTTTTGGCCAATGAAGCTTTTGGCAATTATTTAATATGCATCTGATCACTCTACACAATAATCTAGAAACAATGTGAAGGAACACCAGAACAGCTTAAGCAGCAAACCTTGCAAAACACAAAATTTATGTCACTGCCAAAACTTAACTGTGTTAAGAAGACTGGCTCACCTCTGTGGTAGCAGCCTGTCATTGGTGAGGTAACCAGGCTTGTGGATGTCTCTGTTGTAGTCGGCGTACTTGGCCTGAACAGAGTAAGATGCCAGTAGGACTGCTGTCTCCGGAGGGCAGTAAATCTCATCATTCAAAATGGCTTCCTTCACCTAGACAGCACAAACAGTTTAATTATGCCATGTTTGATCCACGTTTCTTCATATGAGGATTTTTTTTATCTGGAACTGATAATTCAACACAATCTTGGATTGTTCCATTCCTTGAAACTCATCTTGGAATTGCTGTCATAGCAACAGTTCAATAAGCTCAAACCTACTCAGGACTATTTAATGTAAACAGGATTAGATCAGCAGCAGTAGGGCTGATAAAAAAAGTCCTGCCATTGCTCCATACTTACTACTTGTTTGTTTAGAATTCAAATAGCAAGGGCTTTCAGTATAATGACTTTGATCTATATTAATTTACATAATATAAATATAGGCATGTAAACACATTGCATATGTGCACAATCATATACTGTTTTGAGTAGTTGAACAATAATATATAGAATAGAAGCATCATAAAATATTTTATTTTTACTTTTTAAGGAATATATATATATATATATATATTTGGGGTGTAACGATATTCAAACTGAACTGAAAAAAACAAACAAAAATAAAACTGCGAAACCACCCACCGTACATACCGCGATACTATCTTGGCCTACCCCACCCCCTGCTGAGACACTTCAAACACCTACACCATGATTGTTTTGAACTGCTTGAATCACTTTTTTTAATTATATAATAAATAAAAAGAAAACACATAGAATAGAAAAAGAATAGAGCAAGCTAGTGTTAGAGGCCTTTTTTGCTTTTGTTAATTGTATAATAAAAAATAGAATACAAAAAGATTAGAGAAGCTAGTGTTAGTAAAGCAGTTAGTAATTGAATAGAGTGCCAGTCTAAAAAGGGCATGTTTTTTTTAAATAATATAATTAGAATAGAGAGTCAGAGGGTCAAATAAAAATGGAAGAGATGTGTTTTTAGCCGATTCTTAATTAAAAATTAATCATGCTGCCGCGTTCTGGATTAATTGTAAAGGTTTGATAGAACTGGTTAGAAGACCTGCCAAGAGAGCATTACAATAGTCCAGCCTGAACAGAACAAGAGCTTGAACAAGGAGTTGTGAAGCATGTTCCGAAAGAAAGGGCCTGATCTTCTTGATGTTGAATAAAGCAAATCTGCAGGACCGGGCAGTTTTAGCAATGTGGTCTGAGAAAGTCAGCTGATCATCAATCATAACTCCAAGGTTTCTGGCTGTTTTTGAAGGAGTTATGGTTGATGTACCTAACTGGATGGTGAAATTGTGATGAAACGATGGGTTTGATGGAACCACAAGAAGTTCTGTCTTGGCAAGGTTGAGTTGAAGGTGATGGTCCTTCATCTAGCAAGAAATGTCTGTTAGACAAGCTGAGATGCAAGCAGCTATCGTCGGATCATCAGGATGGAATGAGAGGTAGACTGAATGAGTGTATGTTTGCTGGTAAGATGTGCTTGACAGATTGTGGTGTAGAAAATTGTGCACTGACGGTTTTAATTTTATTAATTAAGTCAAGTTCACTTGTGCAGCCACTCACAGCCTTTTGTGGAATTGTAAGTTGCAATATTTTGTTTATATATATATATATATATATATATACATAATATAATGAGAACACTATTATAATTAAACGCTGAATTTCTAGAGTTTAGTTGCCGTGTTTCGCTGCGGGATTGCAGGCATTGTGCGCAATTCTACACATTGGGATTGAGTGGTACCACGTCTTCTCCCACTCTCTCAACATACACAAATGGCCTCACATCCATAATTAGGACCCGAGCACCACGGTGCGAGGACCCTATTGGAATTGCTCCTTTTATACTATATTGCATTTTTAAGCGCCTAAACATTCTCGAAAACTCACGAAACTTTGCACATGCATCAGAATTGGCAAACATTTACATCTGATATGGGTTTCAAAATTGGGCGTGGCAAAAAGGCTCGATAGCACCATCTATAAAATATCAATGAGCGCCCCTCCCGCTACGTTTCACGCAAGTGTACAAAATTCAGTACATGCATTTAATGTCCCAATACCTACAAAAAAGTCTCTTGGAGCGAAGACTTAAATGCAACAGGAAGTGAGTTCAAAGAGTCCTGTCAGTCAGATTTACAGCATGTGAATTCATCAGTTTCTCCCGAAATACATGTAAGTAAGTGGCCAGCAGTGGTGTAATGTAACGAAGTAATAATACTTCGTTACAGTACTTAAGTATTTTTTGGGAGTATCTGTACTTTACTTGAGTTTTTATATTTCAGCCAACTTTTACTTTTACTCCACTACATTTCCTAATTTAAATGTATACTTTTACTCCGATACATTTTCCCGAAGCATATTCGTTACTTACTACAAAACAGTCAGAAGTCAGAAGAACACGGACTGCAGGAAAGCAAGTAATCTATTTTATTTGTCCATTAGTACTGCTGAAAAATTGAGGAACATTTGTGTTGGATAAAATCTACTTAACACATCATCAACTAGGAGCATCAGGAGCATCATAATGGTCTTCCTCATCCCCTCTGTGTACTCAGACAATAGCCTCGATGCCCCTTTCATACACCACTGGTGGCCAGTGAACTGGGAGATGAATAAAGTGAACTTTAAAGTTACTTACACTATGTGTATCTGATATGAATAAAACACGTCGTCAAATTATATTTGAATGGATTGTTATTGCTGCTTCCATAGACATCAGTGTGTATTTTACAAATTCTAAATGTATTGTTTTACAAGTACTTGTTAGACATGTGCTGGTATTTGGTAATACAATATATCACAACAGTGAACAAGCACAATATTGTTATCGTGGGCACTTCAAAATACTGTGAATAATTATTTATTACAAATTATTCAGGTTTTTCGAATGCATTTTAAGAATACTTCTCCCATCAACTAGTTACAATCCACAACACCGCTGTATGCTGCATCAAAGTGGCATGCGCACTCTGATATAAACAAGCCCAACACGGATGAGAAGCGCATGGCAGAACAAGTGAAGGAAACGAGATTTGGCTGTAGAGTACCTACTCTTTTAGCGCTCGTTAAGTAAGTACTTAATGAAATTAAGTACCTACTCATTGAGTAGGCGGTTTCGGACGCACCCTTCATTTCTGAATGAATCAGCCATTTGAATGAATCGGTTGATTCTCAATGACTCACTGATTAACAGTCACTTGCTGCCACCTAGTGGCGGTTTTAATTTCACATTTTGACTATTTTTTTCATGTTTTAAATTATTTCAAATATCAGTATTCAACATTTTATGTTAATATTGTTATCGTGGGCACTTCAAAATACTGTGAATAATTATTTATTACAAATTATTCAGGTTTTTCGAATGCATTTTAAGAATACTTCTCCCATCAACTAGTTACAATCCACAACACCGCTGTATGCTGCATCAAAGTGGCATGCGCACTCTGATATAAACAAGCCCAACACGGATGAGAAGCGCATGGCAGAACAAGTGAAGGAGACGCGCTGAATGAAAATGCACATTCACTCTCTGATAGCAGATGGCGCTGATGGAACAGCAGAAACGCAGCTGTTACCCCGGTAACCCCATAAACAAAGCAGCTGCACTACGTTCTGTTTCTGAACAGGATTTACATGTTTTAAATTTCTATGTATTATACTTCCTGTTTGCAAAACCGCTGCTATGCTGTAACATGGTGTAGCACAGCTGTCCTGGGCACCGCTGGTAAAATGACGCTACCCTCTCATTCACTGATCTGCTCCCCGCTATGCTCTGCTCACATGCTCTGATAATAATAGCTTTGTAGGACTATACATTATTTGGAGAATTAGTCAAAAAACAACAACAACAAAAAAGTTATATCTTATTCTGTTGCACAGAACTGAATAAAAATAATATATTGATATTTAATATTAATATATTTTCTGTACAATTTTTTGTTACTTTAAATAAAAGTGTGGTTATTTCATTGGCTTGTGTTTTTTAAATTCGGTATCATTAAAATTGTTGAGTTAAATTAAAAAGTCTCACAAAATTACACCGAGGCATAACATTATGACCACCTTCCTAATATTGTGTTGGTCCCCGTTTGCTGCCAAAACAGCCCTGACCCGTCGAGGCATGGACTCCACTAGACCCCTGAAGATGTGCTGTGGTATCTGGCACTAAGATGTTAGCAGCAGATCCTTTAAGTCCTGTAAGTTGCGAGGAGGGGCCTCCATGGATCGGACTTGTTTGTTCAGCACATCCTAAAGATGCTCGATTGGATTGAGATCTGGGGAATTTGGAAGTTAACACCTCAAACTCGTTGTTGTGCTCCTCAAACCATTCCTGAACCATTTTTGCTTTGTGGCAGGGTGCATTACCCTGCTGAAAGAGGCCACAGCCACCAGGGAATACCGTTTCCATGAAAGGGTGTACATGGTCTGCAACAATGCTTAGATAGGTGGTACGTGTCAAAGTAACATCCACATGAATGGCAGGACCCAAGGCTTCCCAGCAGAGCATTGCCCAAAGCATCTCACTGCCTCTGCCAACTTGCCTTCTTCCCATAGTGCATCCTGGTGCTACATGTTCCCCAGGTAAGCGACGCACACGCACCCGGCCATCCACATGATGTTTTCAGTAATACATATGAATGAATTTCACGAAGGTTTATCAATGTTTTTCATTTCACTAGTATTTGTAAGAGGCTTTTCAATAATTATGGCCTATACGGCCCCTCATAACAATGTTCACTTGCTGCCTAATATATATATAAATGCACCTTCCATATGGACTACATAATCAGAGAGCATTTTTTTTCGTCAATGCTAAAAGTAGACATTTCAAGCTTTCTATAGATATATTTCTCATGTCTGTGAGGAAAGAATTTCGGATTCATTTTTGTGACATGCTCCAGTACATGGAGATGAAGATGTCAGAAAGCGCATCTTGTTTGTTTTCTTTATTTTACAAAAAGCACAATGTTTTGTTGATATTGTGAGTGTGTCCAAATAAAAACAGACCCTTTATAGTTTTGAGTGATGTATTACTCTTATCTGTAAGAGCAAAAATATATTTTAAGTTGTTTCCAATGTTATGAGGAAAAAATGCAAGGTATTACGCCAGTGCCTCATGCAGTAAGTGCACTAACAGCTTGGCTAAAATGCTTGGCAATGCAGCTAATAGCACACATTTATCTAGGTTAACGTTAGTGTGAGCAGCCATGTACAATTCCTACTTAAACATTTCAATTTCAAATGATAAGCCATAATTGAGGTTGATGAATGATAGGTGAATGTTTGGATTTCCTGCTCAATACACCTACTGTATTTTTTTTCTGCAACTAACTGACTATAAAACGCTGGTCATCCTCTTCTCGTCGACTAACAATTAGTCGACTATTAAGGGGGCAGCCCTATAAATATGTATGATATATGGACCACTGAACTCTAGAGGACGCTGTAGAGCCCCCCTGCCATGCCCGTGTACCAGCTTCTGCCCGGCCCTAATGGCCAATGATTTCAAGGTGTGTCAAATTTTCAAGAGTTTTTGAGAGTTTTATGTTTAGGGCCCCAAAAGCCACAAAACCTTGACAAGACCCCTAGGGGCTTAGGCCCCATATATTCCTAAGGAAAACAATAGGGCCCTTAGCCTCATTTGGCTTAGGCGCTTATAATAATCCTTAGAAAAACAAAATGGCTTTGCTAGGACTTAGGCCCTAAAAATGCAAGCACTGTTAATGCAAAGCATTTTTTTTTATTAGTGCAATTTAACAAGCTTTCTTGTTTAAAATACATTTATCGTTATTTTACTACCATTTATACATGACATATGATTGGTTGATGGGTCATCACTGAAATTGTTGTAATAACAATCATCAGGAAAAAAAGACTCTCAGTATAAAGATTGTCTATCCTTAAAATCAGGTATGCATCTAAATGATTCTATTGTTTCAAGATTTAAAATTACAACCACATTGTTTTTGGTTCAACATCACCACCACTGAAATTACTCCCCATCCATCCTAACACAAGATATAATAGTCATTTTGAAAACGAAATAAATGCAATCGATGGCAAGTATGCGTAGACTAGTTTCCCCAATACCTGTAAGAAGAAGAGACGTTGTGTTATCTCTTGGATGAGCTCTTCAGAAACATCTTCTGGAAAAAACTTTGCCCGGAACTTGAACTGTAGAGGGTTTTCCTTTCTAACATCCTGCTGAGTCACCTGCCAAATTTTTACAGAAACACATTAAAAAGCTTTATTTACCCTGATCTGAAGAAGTTGATTTAGTAAACTTTCATGCGAGGTATACATTTAAGTTCATGAATTCGCTGATAATTGAGATTTTAACCCATGTTTTTGGCATGCTAATGCCACATGCTGCTGTTTGAGCTACTGGAATGCCACATAAAACCTAAAACAAGTATCCAAGCTACTAATGACTGCAGTACATAAAGCAAAAATGTGTAAAGAATTGAACACATAAAGCTAACAAACAGTAAGGATGCTTTATTGTGATGTGAAGCACCACCGTTAGCACAAAATAATACAATTTACAACTAGACAAAATAGCAACTTTCAAGTTTCGAGTTCTTGTTAAACACAAACACATAATACAGATCATTACATTTATGCATTTGGCAGACGCCTTTATCCAAAGTGACTTGCATCGCATTAAAAAGGTACACATATCAGTTCTTGCTTTCGATCCCATCAAATTGAAACCATGACCTTAGCATTGCTTGCCATGATCTACTGTTTGAGCTACAGGAAGACATTTAGTTCAAACTGAGAAAAAGCCACATTATAGAAAATGCCACCTTGTAACTGTGTTACAAACTGCTAGTATGCCTCAGCAGACTCCTGAGTTTTAACTAAACACTTTCCACTGGAGTCACTTGTTAAAAAAAATCGTGCCATAGATCATCTTGTTTCATACGGCAGTTCCTCTATGAAACACTTGCAGTGGTGCATGTGTGTAGAAGACATTTTAAGAAGACATATACAGCTGTTTATAAGGGGAAAGTTCAGGCTTTTACACAGACTTTTACAGCAGGACATCTTTAACCGCAGACCAATTTTCCCTCACTGTTTTTTTTTTTTTGGTGCTGTTGAACAGGAAGCCAGTTAAATCGCACATCTGAGGCTGTGCGAGAACAGCAGTATTAGCCGGAGACAGGTAAAAGTGGGAGGGAAAGCCTTACCTTTTTATTTAGCTTTAGCCATGTTGAGTAGCCTTTACTGTCCACGTACTGCAGACCGAAAAACCAGACCTCTCGCAGACCTACCGTCTTCACAACCTGCAGGATGACCATGAACAAATGAAGAGTTTGGTTCCAAAACGCGATAAACGCCATTTTTTTTTTAAATTGAATTATGTGTCATGGATTTATTGCATTTTGGGGAAAAAGATAATTCAATTTTATAATAAATCTTTGAAAATCAAAATCTGGATTTTAATTTTTAATGTTATTATAACCTAAAGATGCTTTGTGAAAGTTTGAAACAGAAAATAGTGGTTTTCATCTTGCCACTTTCTTGGTAAAGAAAACAAATTTTTACTCAAATTAATCAAAATGGATTTATAGCGTTTTGGAACCAAACTCTTCAAATAAATCGTATTCAACAATCAACATAAATCTGAAAGAGACGTAATATAGGGTACAATGGGGCTAACGGCGCCCCGGGGTAAAAAGCGCCTTTGATTCTATTTTCCTCGATTTCCTCTACTACTAGATGGCACAAAAAATTGGCGTAGCACTTTCTAAAATATCCACTTTTCTAGATGTGCAAATTTGTCTGATTCTTGACACGGTTCGCGGAAACTGATTCTGTGCTAATTTGATCTAATATTTGATGTTTTTTTTAAATGTTGTAGATTTAAGTAGCAAATGAGAATCGCTAAAATTATTGAATATATTTTGGGACAAAGGTATTTTTTAATGATTTTCAGTTTTGTTTAAAGTAATTGAAGCAACAGTTTTTCAATCACGGAAGAATATGTATAAAGTATGGTATTTGGGGTAAAAAGCGCCCCTGCTGTTGGGGTGAAAGACACAATAATTAACATGATAATAAATAGCTGGCTGACTTTTCCATTTGTTGACATGACATGGTTAGATTCAGATGGTAAATATCACAAATTATATTGGCTGTCCAACTTACAGATAATCACCATGTTTGAAATTTAAAAATATGATACTTATAATATCCAGGGCTCGCAAAATCGCTAGCCCGACGTCGCAGGGTGTCCTCAGGCAAAATATATCACTGCCCTGCCCGACGGGCTATCTTGAAGGGTTCCCGCGGGTCCTTAAAGTATTTAGTTGTATGAAATTTATGGCCATAATTTTTTTTTTTTACATTTGTCAGACCAACGCGAAAATCGACTCATGTTTTTACGCAGCAAACACGCAGAGTTGTAAATGTGAAAGAAGCTAAGGTGCCTTCTAATTTTAATATAATTATTTAAATTAATAGAATAATTTATACGTTTGACTCATCCCTTTTCCTACAAATGATTAAAGGCTGAGATATGATTTTTATCATTTTATAAGATTTTCATGTTTTTAAGTTTTTGTGAAAACCTGTAGGGGGAGCGCGGGGCACAAAGTAACGCGGGGTAAATTGTAACACACGTGGTTTAAATATTTCCACACATGCTAGCATAACCAAATTTACAGCATTTACTAGTTACCATATCAACATTATATAGAGAAAAACAGTGCACCAAAATTCAAATGAACTGTAAATCATGTCATTTTACGGCTTATTATGTTACCATAGACACTGCCCAACTCCACTCATACAGTGTTAATTTTATTATTTATTATTGTGCAGGTCTTAAAAAGGATTTTTTTATTTATTCTGGAGACACCCTGTAAATGTGCAACGCATTTTATGGACGACAGTTTTTTGAACCTAGAAGATGAACAAGCATGTCAACATATTCTGTTACACCAAATACTTTAAAATATTTGATCTTTAAAATAGCATCATATGACCCCTTTAAGGCACGGCAAGCCATTGATTATCCCGCTAATTCCATGGTAATTTGCCAAGTTATAGACAAGTTAAAACAAGTATTGCTCTTTGCAGTGCAATATTTGACCGAATGGGTACATTTTTTTTATTTTCGTCAGTTACAGAATTATAGAATTACAGAATTATAAAATTTATTTGAATTAATTATCGATTGTTTGTTCGAGAGAGAGAAAGAGAGAAAGATGACAGTTGTGTGTGTGAATTACCTGCGTCTGTGCGTCTCTCTCTACAAACAATGAAGTTGTTAGTTTAATTACTTAAAGATTTTACCTCTTCGTTGCTGAGGAATATAATGCAGTGATCCAGTTTCTAAGCCATTTTATTAATAAAAGTAG